AGCATCGGCCGCGAAGAGCGGGACGAGCTGTTTTCGGTCCTGCCCAGCCTGCACGCTGCATCCCTCGAACTGTTGTCGAGCATTGTGACGCGGATGGGTGCCAGCACGGTTCCCCTGGCCCCGGAGATCCTGGAAGACGCGGTGCGCATGTTCATGTCGGACCGTCACATTCCCCGCGTTCGGAAAAACACCTACGTGCTCACCAAGAAGATTCTGCCGCTGGTCGGCCCATCCTTTGCACGGACCACGGTGGACCTGCTTGCCAATGTGGTGCGCTCGAGCTGCCAGGACATTCTGGAGGCCGGCAGCTTTCTGCAGGAGGACAAGACGGACGACAAATCCAAGGCGGGTCAGAATGGTGGCGCAAAAGGAGGCGCCGGTGGTGGTGCACGAGGCAAGTCGGCGTCGGCCAATGCCGACTTGTTCTTGGCCAACGCCGCTGCCTCGTCTCAAACAGCGGCAGCCGCGGCGCGCAAAACATCTCGACTGAGTGCCGCCCACCTCCGCGCCGCAGAAAACCTGCTGGCCGCCGTGCTAGCGTACATACCACCACAACATGTCAAGAAAGCCGACCGCACGCTGCTGGACCGCACGGCGATTCTGAGTGCCAACAAGGGTGCCATGGTGGCAAGCGTGCTGCAGCCGTACGTGGACCAGAGTGGCCGCTACTTTGCCAACACGATACCGTTCCTAGCGCGCGCGTACCCGCACGATGTGAGCATGGAGATTCTACGCAGCAACCTGCGGACGGCACCGCACTACTATGGCAACATTTTCGCGGCCACAGCGCCGGGCGAGGACGACGCGTCGGATGCTGAGGAGGAGGAGGATCAGGCGATGGACGATGCGGCTGATCCTGAGCCAATGATGGATGGGCCGGAGAGTAGTGCACCAAGTGCACCGAGTGTGGTGGCCACGACGGAAGCAGGTGCCGGCTCGGGTGGCTTCTCTCTGCCTTCTGTGTATGCTGAGCGGAGCAAGCCAAACATCGGTTCATTGGGCAATGCTGGGAACGCTACGGAGGGTGGCGCGCCGGCTGCATTTGAGCCGCTGACACTGAAGCGCAAGTCGGACGAGAAGGACGATGTGCCCTCTGCGGCTGCAAAGAAAGTAGACACCGGCAGGGAGGCTAAGGTGCCTGCGGCTGTTGCGCCCTCTGGTGTCGCAGCAGATGATAGCGGTGACGACAGCGACGGCAGTGTGCAGCTAGAGATGGCCTTTGACGATGACGACGAGAGTGGTGATGAGGAGTAAGTATAGAAAAGTTTTAAAAGAAACGACATCATTGCTTCGAGCAATGACGTGCGCATCTGACTTTGTACTGATTCTTCAAAGGACGACTATGATATAAACAACAACTGGAATAGCGTTATGAAACAAGAACAAGCAAAACAGACATTTGTAGCCACCGCCCGAGCATGCCTTTACCAGTTGGGCCTACACCGCCCAAAACAAAAACTCCAAAATTAGACACCCAAAAATACACAAGACCAATGTGTACAATGTAGAAACGCCTGTCAAGTGCTAAATAACGCGGTCAAATAGATATCAAATGCGTGAGCAGGTTACCGTGCTCCAAAGCCCACCCCCCGTGTTCGTTCAATCCCTCAGCCAGGCACGCCGCTTTTCCTCCTTGCGCGCGCGTCGCTTCTCTTTGAAAGCCTTGAGCTCGGACTTGGACGGCTTGATGCCGCTCCGCTCGGCCTTGAGGCTGCGCCCGTCGTGGGCGCTGTTGGCGGCGGCGACATCAAAGTAGTTGTTGAGCTGCCGGCTGGCCTTGCTGTCGTGGCTGAAGCGACTGCTGCCAGCAGCACCAGCACTGTCTTGGATGATGGCAGCCGCCGCCGCCGCTGCCGCGGCAATCGGGTCACCGCCGTCCACGTCTGCACCGGCATACGCATCAGCATCAGCGGGCGCCGCCTCGCCTGTGGCATACCACGCGTTCGGGTCGTAGTCGCCATGGATGGCGGGATTGTAGCCGCCCACGCCGCCGCGCGCACCACCCCCACTCGCCCCTGGCCCCTGTGCATCTGGTACACGCGGGTTCTCCCATTGTGTCTGCTGCGTAAACCGGTTGACAAAGTACCAGGCTTGGTGCTCGTCGCTCCACATGGGATCCCACCCATCGTCATTCTCGTCGACTACTTCGTCAGGGACGGGCTCGTCAGGCAATGGTGGTGGGGATGCCGAGGCATCAGCAGCGGTTGTAGTGTCTGTTGATATCGAGGGCCCGTGTATGTCCTTGTCTGTGTCGTCTGTCTTCACTTCTGTCTTCTCTTGTGCTTTTGCGCCTGTCGTGCTCTCGCTTGTTGGTTCGTCTTTTTGCCCGCCTGTGGCCTGTGTGAGTTCCTCGTCTTCTATCTTTGCCTCTGCTTCTGGCACATCTGTCTCTTCGACAGCTTCTTCAGAAATCTTAACTTCGTGTTCCGCTGCAGAAGGTGCGGTTTCTGCCGCGTCTGCAGGTCTTGTGTCGGGTGAGGATGGCATTGTTGTTGCTTTTGCTGCTTGTGGTGCCCAAACTGCGTGTTGGCGTAGAGGTAAGGTATTGTAGTGTACAGATCATAAATAGAAAAGGAGCGCGAGAGACTATCGAAAAGTTGTGGACGTCGAGGAGAATTGAGGGCGAGATCGCAAATCGTTCGAAAGTCGACAAAACGACGATTGTCGAGAATGCAGCTACACAAAATAATCCATTCGTCTCGTAACTGGAGGCCCCACATGTGACGCAGGATGGATTTGAATTTGAATGTTTCGCTTAGTCATCCGGGTTATGATTGTGTCTGCAGTGTATTTCAACTGTTTACGCCCTGGCCAGGCCCTGAGACTGTAGTACAACCAGGCGCCCCATAATTTAACGTTACCTACCAGTCGTCAGCGCCTATCGTCGCCTGTCCCTGGCGTAGTATTCACACCTCATCTTTTACAGCATATGTCAATCTGGTGATTATTCCTGCCATTGAACATTACGAGAATCCCGGTTCCGCGAGAAGAAGACGGGTGGGTAGTGCTAAGATGCAAAGACAAAAGGTTGTGAATATACTACTGCAATTAACTGCAGCTGGACTGTTACAGTCGCAATCGTATAGAGACCATTGAAGTAAATGTAGTACCGTTCGACAGTCTTAAGGAGACTGGGAAAGACTCATAAACGGTTTGTATCTCTTAGTCAGGAGAGAGAATATTGTAGTATTGCAAAAGAAAACCGAGGTTTTTTTTCTATCTGGCTGTGCATAAAGGTGCATATTTCGTGCCCTGTGTATCTTAAGGGAAGTTCCCCAATAGATCCATCTGTCCCTACTTCTTTCGACCTATTGTGACGTTTCCTGTGGCGGCCTCGGGCCGAATACCGTGGCAGACAGCTCGGTGCCGTCGTCCAGCTTGACCTTGTCGGCGCTGACCATGACAAAGAGGATGCGGCAGGTCTCGGTGCCGCGGTTGGCCCAGGAGTGGTTTGTGCCGCCCTGGATCAGGTAGTCGCCGGCGCGCAGCGTCTTCTCCTCGCCGTTGTCGAGGGCGAGGACAACCTCGCCGGAGACAACCACCGCGTAGTCGATGCTCTCGGTGCGGTGCATGGGGGCCTGGTCGCCGGGCTTGATGTTGGTGATGCTGAACAAGACGCCGCCGGGTGGGCAGCGGGGCAGCCCTTGCTTCTTGTCCTCAGCAACGGCGACCTGGTTGTTGATGGGCACCGCGGGGCGGCTATCGAAGACGGCAAACGACGAGGAGTCGGGACCAAAGGGGCGGAAGAGGCCGGCAGGGCCATCCGAGGCAAAAACAGAGGTGCCGTCTTTGGCGTGGGTCGTGACGACAAGGCGGGGTTCGATATCGGCGGAAGAAGTCATTGTGAAGACGATACGTAAGGGGACAAGGCGATGAAAACGATTCGTAATTGAGCGTTGGTATCTGAGGCAAAGTATGATTGCTGTTGTACGGGATGGAGATGAAGAGGGTGTGAATGAATTAAGCTTTTTTCTCAACCCCAAGAAGGTGGTAGTTCAAAGCTTATTTATATGTCTACGAAATACAAGAAATAACAAGGGAACGGGCCCCGAGTCGGACGCTGCCTGACTTGTCGTAAATCAAAGTCGGAGTCGAGCTGTGCGCTTCCCCGCAGGAATTCCCCCCAGAATTCCACCCTGTTGCTGGCCGACCTGTTTGGAATCACTTCCTTGGCGGCGTAATACATCCGACTGCTCGCTACTGTCGCTGCTTGTCGCTGCTTCGTTGCCAACCTCCGCCGACAAGCACGGCCGGTCAGGAATTAGACAATGGACTTTAGATTGTCAAAAGCCATCTCGTCCAGACGAACAGATTGTGTAAGCTGTCTGCCTGTTCAGTTGAAGACGTCGCACTCTGGCTCGTCATGGAAAGATCGGCAACGCGAACAAGCGCCGTGTCCGTGGGATACGCAACGCTGATCTCTGTATCTCTCGGGGCTAAGGAGTCGGACATGTATCTGCCCCATTTGGCAAAACCCGACTGAAACATGGACTTGTGACCTGTCTGTTCGCTACCAGGGCGCTGTTCACTCAACCACTGCCAGACAAGGCACGGCGAGCGTCTCAACAAGCACCGACTTTGCTATTCGTATTCAAAGATAGCACCAGAAGGCCGAGGTGGGCGTTCAGCCTCACGAGATAAGTGCGTGCGAAAGTAAGCAATACGTATGTTGTAGGATGTAAGAATGACGTCGTCGGATCGTCTTCAGACCGTTCCAGGCCATGCTCCAGCGGGAGCTGCATTGGTCATCAATCCTTCGTCTGCCCGCAATGTGCCTCGCTGAAGAGATATCGAAGTGTCTCTTCTCGACCAATGACCAGGTACTTAATGCATAATGTGCATGAGTCGCTCTGCCCTCCTCCAACAGGACCGGTGCCAAGGCGGTCTTGCAGTGGAATCGGCACGTCGGTTCGCTGAAATGCCGACCGCCGCCCTGTGGACCCTGTGAACTAGCGCTGTTGACCCACTGTTCTCAACATGCCTTGATCAACAAGCTTAAAATGCTTGCAGAGGAAGTTGCTTTGTCATATATGCCGTTCTCATCATGTTGCAAGGCTTATATCTCCGACTGTGTCATGACCAAGCGTCTCGTCATGGCCATTGAGCCGACCAACCCCGATCTCGCGCCGTTTGGCGCTGACAAGACCGAGTCGGCTGTCTTCAACATCGTCAACAAGGGCATCTAGAACTTGGTCAACTCGGGCCTCATGTCGCACACCTCACTAGTCATCGGGCGTCACGGTTGTCGAGGCCCAGTCGCTGGCCACAGTGGCCGTTGAGCAGCTGGCGTCAGCTGGCACGATCCTGGCTACCAACGGCGAGGAGCTGAACATTGTCGTGGTTGAGCCACGGCCCCATGGACTTGCGCACGACCAAGGAAAACCTGCAGGCCGGCTTCGTCCAAGATCAGTACGCGCTGTCCACTGTCCACCTAGTTGGTCAGTAGTAGATAGACCATATAATGTTACGACATGACACGAAGTTCTACTAATCTTCAAGCTTGTGGTTTTTACCCCATATACGTGCAACAGCACATTGCTCTTTATCTGTCTTTTTTAAAGTCAAACCTTATGTGATTCTTTCCTTACCGCTGAAGAAATGCACATTTTGATCAGCACGCACACACAATTTCCAACGTATTGCATTGTATCTAGTTCTAGAATTTGTTTTGTATATAAAGACAGTGCATAACCTTTCTTTTTTTCCTCTGTACAGTCTAGTTTGATAAATACCATTTATTTGGGTTTGAGACTTTGTGAGCACATGCCAGGATACGTATCTAGTCTCCATCCTTCATAAATAGAGTCATATCCTAGTAACGGGACGTGCCAGAGTGCATATTCCTGCGGGAGAATCACCCGAGTAGAGCAACAAGGCAGCCGTCTGACTTCATCAGGAAGCAATTTCCCACAACCGCGGTCCCTGCATACTAAAATACGTCCGTTCATATATGCTTCTCTATCGTTGCTTTTACCGTCGAGGTAAAGCCAAAGTCCTATTTTTGGCACATTTTCATGACAGGGTGGCAAGTGGTGTGTGGTGGCTAAACTACAGGGAAATAAAAATGAAATAAAAAACAAAACCAGCAACATGGTTCTAGGCATAGACAAGGAGAGTTATCAATAAGTCCGTGACACATATAATCCGGCAAGCAGACCGCAGACCAGGCACCGTCTGTCATTGCATTCACCCGGAACGAACTTTGGGCATGCCGACATACTTTCCGCTGCGTCGTTCACGAATGTATTTTCCCTTTTCCTTCCTTTGCCTTCTTTTTATGCAGGCTCGTTTCCTTTTCATACTATCACTTGGCCACGCGTTGATAGTGGCCCACGAGACCTTCGCAACTTGGACTTCTAGTCGTTCTTGCCACGCGTTTGGTGGTTGTCATTATATCCACTGACGGTTTATCTTGGAAGGTGATTTGATCTTAGGCTGATCTCGAGACCCTCGACAGTCTTAAATTAAAATATGGAGTGGTGCAGCCAAAAACCCGATCCAGACCCCAAGACGGTCTGGCCAAAGCAGAATTAACAAAAAGACGGCACAGCCTTGGTGTATCCTAACGAACGTTGTTTGCCCATTATTGTGTTTCCCGTGTGTAGATAGGGGGAATGACGAGATTTCGCCTCATGTCCCTTTTGTCCTTGTCTTCTTTCCACCTTTCCTGATTTTTTTTTCTTTCTCTGATTTCTGTCCTCTCATCTCTATACTCTATATTTCACCATCTTCGCAAAACGGCCTTTTCAAAGGCATCACAGGAATATCCCTGCAGAATCGCATCGGTCCTCCACCATCGCTAGTTACGCTGCAGCGGAACTTCGGGCAGGCGGACAATCGCACAAAGCAAGAGGCCATTGAACGACATCTCCGGGCGCACACGACCAAGCCTTGAGTCGATAGGATTCAATAGGATCACCAGCGCGGTGGATATGATCTGGAGCTTAATAAGTAGCACACCTACCTGGGATTTTGAAGGCATCTTCCTCCATGAAGATGATAATGACTCGCCGGAGTCGTAGGCAGCGGCCTACGTCTCTAGCTTCGACGCTTCTCTTTCTTTGTGTCTCGGTATCCTCCTATCAATGTGCAGCCGCCGACGAACCATTGTCATCACCACCCGCCCCGGCGCTCGAAACCACCCATATTCCCGTCGACGATGCCAAATGCGACTGCTTCGTCACCAATGGCTCCGACACGGCGTACTTTGCGCATCACGCCTTTTACGACTTCCGCTCCTTGGCACAGTACGAAAGCGTCCCGTCGTTGCTGTCGGACGCAGGAAGCGCGACCAACGCCCCGGCCACGAGCGGCTACTTTACCTCGAGCACGTTTACGTCCTTCTGGCAGTCGCAGAACTGGAACAACAGCGCGGCGAACGCCTCGGTGCTGCGCATCAACTCGCTCAACAACATTTACATTGAGAAGGACGCGGACAACTCGAGCAGCTCGACCTGGCTGACGCTGCGCACCGCCCGCCACGCGGCGTTCCAGTCGGCCGCCGAGATCGTCACGCAAAACGACACGTTCCAGTATTTGTCGATGCGCATGCTGGCACGTACCATTGGTGATCCCGGCGGCTGCATGGGCATGTTTACCTACCGCGACGGATCGCCGTCCCCGGGCGCCAGTGCCGGCAAAGCCGCCCCGGGAAAGGACGTCGTCCTCCAGGAAGTCGACCTCGAGGTCCTCACAAAATACCCCCGCGACCACGTCCAGTGCACCAACCAGCCGTCGCTCGACGACAAGGGCGAAATCATTGAAGCGGCGACGCAGAACGTGACGCTGCCCGACGGCCTGGGCTGGGACGACTGGGCCGTCTACCGGCTGGACTGGACGCCGCGCCAGAGCACGTGGTACGTCAACGGCCAGCAGATTGCCAACATTTCGTTCCAGACGCCGCGGGACCCGACGAGCATCCACCTCAACGCCTGGAGCGACGGCAGCAAGTGGACGGGCACCATGGCGCCCGGCACCCAGGCACACTTGCAGATCCAGTGGTGGGAGGTGCTGTACAATGCGACGGCAACGAATGCGCCCGCGGTGAAAGACACGAGCAGCGGAGGTGGGAGCTGCAGCGCAGTCTGCAGCATCGACGACGGCAATGCACCGGGCCAGGCGGTGTTGGTCTGGGGAACCGCCAGTAGTGGCGGTGACAGCGGCGGTGGAAGCAATGGAACCAAGAATGGAGCTCCGGATCGGCTGATGCCATCATGGGGAGGGAGTCCGGTGTTCTGGATGCCTTTGCTGTCGGCTCTGTTTGTGCTTTACCCTGTCGTGTCTCGGTGAGAGATGCAGTCACTATATTGTCGTGTCTTCGATGCTCGTCGGCAGTCTTTATATTTTGTTTTTGTATATACTTGCATAATACTCTCTATTGCATGTTTGTATCCCAAGACTGTGCATATCAGGTTGGTCAGAACAATTCGTCGAGGCCCGGGTGAATGGGAAGGGACAAGTGTTTCATAAGCAGTGCAAGAAGGCGTAGGACGACGGAGGAGAATTCAGCTACGATACGAGGCACGTGGATGAATGAACTGGCCCGGACCTCCGATACTATTGTGTGCCTCGCGTGCATCGTGCAGTGGCGTGCATTTCTGTTGTGTAATGAATGGCAGCTCTGTGGCTCTTCCCATTTATTGACTTATATGTGAGGGTGTGCAATTGTTCTAGAAGCCAATATCCACCATGTTTCGTAACACGGTGTTGTGGCTGCTTGGCCACTTTGACCGCATTAACTTTATGTTCATTTCTTTATTTTCGTTATTTTCTTTATTTCTAAAGGAAAACGCGACAGTGCAAAATCATACTGTGAAAACCGTCTCAAGGCAATCTATGTGTGTGAGACGCTTTGACTTCCGGTTTCCCCATGATCTCGGAGGTTTAGCGGCAATTACACACCATGGTTTCGGAGTGTGTTTATTTATTCACCTGACATTTTGTACTTGCTCGTACGTTCTACAAGGAACACGTTACCCTTTGCCACTTTTGTGATCACTCATTTTCTTCTTCACCATATTCACTGAGCTTGAACCATCCATCCGACGGTGTTTCGGACACGGAGATCATTTTTGTTGTCCAAAGGGTCAAGCTTGAGAAAAAGAAGGGATGAAGAAGAGATGAGACAAAATGAGATAGACAGTGCGACCGAAACTACTCGACGTTCTGCGGCGTCCTTGCGTGATCGACGACGATCAAGACTAATAGCCTGTCTTGTTCCTATTTACTGAGCCGGAAAGACGATCACAGGCTGGAGGCGGCAATACTGGCCACAAAACCGCCGTCGTAGAACGCCTACATCGTGGTACACAATGGTTCATTCAACGTTGCATCCGTTCCTTCAGTGTACGTCAATGCACGGCTCTCCCTGCGCGTATTCCGGACCACGACGATGAAGAAGGGAAGGCTGAACAGGAGGCAAGGATCAGGGGTTTGAGGGAACGGGGCAAACACGGCGAGGCGGTTCGTTTGTGGCGTTTCTTTTGTGTTCTCGTGTCTGTTCTCTCAGGTAGGTAGGATTTTCTCAAATAGATGCCAAGACCCGGGGACGGCTGCGTATCTTGACCATCTTCGTCAGTCGCAGTCAATGATCATTTCCATTTCTTTTTTTAAGCGCCGTCTATGTACCACTTTAGCCTGCCCTGTCTTGAGACGCCTTTGATGACGAATATCATCAAATTTGCGTGCGCCGACTCCCATCCTGTTCTCTAACCCATCTAACCTTTCAATTCGTCCCTCCAATTGCACAGGCCCAAACCATAATGAAGGCCAGGTCAGGGTTCATCACGTCGGTGTTGCTGGCAGCCAGTACAGTAATGTCTGCAGCCTCCCTTGCTGCTGCTGCCTCACAAGACAACGCCAACAATAATGCCAACGCCAGCGCGCCCCTCGTCTGTCCGCAACTGCACGTCATTGCCGCCCGTGAGACCACGGCGCCGCCCGGTTTTGGTTCCGCCAGCACCCTCGTCGATTTGATACTGAAAGCGTTTCCCGGCGCCACATCCGAGGCCATTGTCTACCCGGCCGCCGGCAACTCCAACCGAAGCTACAGTCTCAGCGTGACGGCAGGTGTCCTGGCGGTGCTGGCGCAGGTGACGCAGTTTGCGGCGCAGTGCCCCGAAACCGTACTCGTGATGCACGGTTATTCGCAGGGCGCGCAGATTCTAGACAATGCTTTTTGCGGCGGGCCGGACGGGGACAGCTTGCTGGCGACGCCACCCCTCATCCAAACGGCCATCGGCAAGAACGTAGCGGCGATTATCATGATGGGCAACCCACGGCACGTGGCAGGCCTGCCGTACAACGTGGGCAACGCCACTGCGCCCGGCTTCGCGGCGCGGCCCGTGGGGTTCCAGTGTCCGCTGTACCAGGCACGGATACAGTCGTACTGCGACTCGCCGGACCCGTTCTGTGCCAACGGCACAGACGCCGCATTCCACCAAGGATATGGGACGCGCAACGGGGGTGACGCACTCCGGTTTATATTGAAAAAAGCGCTCTTGTAGAAGCAGGGCTGGTGCGTGGTAGTCGGTGGTTTCTCTGCTTTGCATTTGCTATAGCGTTTGGTCAAAGGCATCGCATCTTTAATATATCATTTGCGTTCTCACACCACGTCGTCCTCTCAGTTGTAGTTGAACTCGTTGGGCTTGGGCAATGGATAGGTGTCGGACCGCGAGGACGCAAACGTCTTGACAGAGCGATCTAGAAGCGCGCGGATCCACAGCTGTGTCGGTACATCGGCAAACTCGTAGGCCACACGCATGGCGAAGCCAATGCGGTACTGCCCCATGAGGCCAGCACCAAGCTTCTCAAACGAGCGGAAGATGATGCGGCACAGGCGACGGTTGCACGCTTCAAAAGGCCGCGCGGCCGATACGGGTGCGTCAATGTCCTGCAGCCGCAGGGCGTCGCAGGGGTCGGTGGAAGAGGGCAAGAGCTGCTTGGGCGAATAGGACAGGTCGCCGTCGGTCCCACCTGGCGACAGAGGGGAGGCCGAAGGCACAAATAGGGAGCCAGTATCACTGTGCACGTTGACGCTGCTGCTAGTGGTGGGTGACACGGTAGGTGCCTCAGTCGGTGAGCTCATGGCTGTGCCACCAGCCGTCGTCGTCGTCGTCGTCGTACGTGCAACACTCGCCTCCGTGTCGGGCTGGGTCTGGGTCTGGGCCTGGGCCTGGGCCCGAGCCTGCGCCACAGTCATCTCATATCGAGCGCCTGCGCACTGGTTGAGGCTCTCCTGGATAATCAGCATGGACGTCACATAGCTCAGGTAGATGCTGGAGATCCATGGATTGGGGTACTCGAGCACCGTTGCGTAGGGCGAGGCTGGTGCGTCGGCAGGCATGTTGGATGGGACCTCGGTGTACACAGAGTCCCCGAGAAATTGAGACGCCTCCGAATACCAGGCGCGGAACGTTGCGTGCAGGCTGGCCGCGTCGCGCCGCAGCATCACCACCTGAGCCTGGTCGACGGGCAGACCGTGTTGGCGCGTCTCGCGGATCACCCAGAGGTTGCGCATAATTCTGGGCAGACGCGCAAGATGGGCCACATGGCGGTCGATGACGGCCACAGCGTCTGCGGGCAGGAGGTCCTTGAGCGGTAAATCGACGCCCTCGAATTTGCTTTTGAGCAGGCGCTGCCACTTTTTCTCGGCCAGAAAACAGTCGCGCCCCGTAAACAGCGCGTTCATGATGATGATGGACCGGAACGAAAAGAGCATCGCACGGTCCCACGCCTCGACGAACCCGTCCGTGCCGCGGTGCTGCATCAGACTCGATACCGCGCTCGAATGCTGCAGCCAGCCACTGGAGTTGCCCGACGTATCGGCAAAGAGCTCAAACAGGCACATGACCATGGTCGTGCACAGTGTCTCGGACGAGCGCCACTCGACGGGGTGGTTGAGCGCCGCCTGCAACGCCTCCAGCGACTGGCCGTACAGATGCCGGCTCTGCACAACCATCACCTCGTTGCCGCGCGACTTGCCCAGCAGATGCATCGCCAGCGCGCACACAGCGCTGTCGAGCGTGACTTTCCGGCCGAGCCGTGCGGGCACGCTGCGAAACCACGAGCCGTAAAAGAGCGCCTCCTTGGGAGGGCGGTCCATGTCGACCATCTCGAGGATCGTGTTGACGTAGGCGGCGCGGTCGTCGCGAAGACGCGGCGGGATCGTGGTCGCGGCCGACAAGAATTCCTCGCCGTTGGCATACGCAGAGGTCATCAGATCGACAACCATAGGCACGACAATACCGCTTTGGCCATGGCGGTAGCCCATGGCGTAGCCCTTGCCATGGCCTTTGCCGCTACTCTGGCCGGAGTTGCCACCTTCAGAGTGCGGCGACACAGAGGCCGATGAAGCTGTGCTGTCGCTGCGCTCGGTTGCAGCCGCCGCACGCTCCCTGCCGCTCTGTCCCCTCCTCCGCACCTGGTGCTTGCCCGACACAAACTTGAGCGACCGATCGTAGCCCGGGCAGTCGACGCCGTACGTAGCGCACTTGGCGCAGCCCGGGTGGCCCTCGTCGCAGCGCACGCGGCGCCGGACGCACAGCAAGCAGCCGCGACTTCGAGGTACGCCAACCATGGTGAGAAGGGGCAGTGCTTTGCGGTGGCCGATGCGAATCACCTGGGCATTGGTCTCGCGAACATTGAAAGAGCCGGTAGCGGTGGAGGCTGCACAAAGAATTTGTCGTGAAAAATACCGTCTCGAAAACGTCTCGAAAACGGAAAGAGCCGCAATCGCGGAGGAAGGAACCTGTTGAAGTCGACAGTGACGGTTGCGCTTGCCCTTGACCCACAGTGACGCTTTAAATGAAGAGTGACTCCATATTCCCCCGTATCGTGGTGGCTTAGAGCCGATCGACAACCGCCGTTGCCCGCCGCCGCACTTGCCCTATTTGGACGTTCAGACAAGGCAGGTCCTGCACGTGACAGCGACCAAGTTGTGACGTACGGCAACTTCATCTCAGCCTCTTACAATGGACGACAAAAAGATGGTGTCGTGCAGCAAGTGCTCTCCTTAGCACCAATACGGACGCCGGCCAGTTATAAAAATGAGAAATTCTCCAGAGGAGAAATGCATAAGAGCGGCCAGACCCAAGTTCTCCGGCCAATAGTCAAAATGAGCCTCAGCATTTGATAAACGTGAAAGAACATGTAAATCCCTTGGCAAAACTCTGGATGAATCAGTGAGATTGATGTGTCTTGGAAGGGTACGCCCTACGAGCCTGCTATGCGACCAGTTTCAGCGTGTTGCCCTGTTGCTCATTCCTGCACTCATCTTTCGTCAAGCCTCGTTTCCTATTCTGAAGAGGCAGCATTCCTCTCTGAAAATCACCAAAAAAATGATGCTGCAACAGGGAAAACAATAATAGAAACCACATTTCACCGAGTCACCCCGCCAAAGGGCTGAAAATAGCCTCATATGGCAATTCACGACAGCTGTCGTCATCGTAATCATTTTTCTTATGTTCTGCCGCGTTCCTTTATTCTTCCTTCCCTTCTGTTCCATCTACTTGAATCGACAAGGACCAGGGCTTCAAGACTGCTGGGCCGTCCCAAATGCCTTGCAAGACGACAGAAGCCGCTCGCCATTGGAGAAGCCAGCATATGAAAAGCCAAAGTGTCCCGCAATATATCTGACATATATTCGACAATGTGTTTTCATTTTGTGTTTTCGTTTCATGCGATAGTTTTGCTGTCCTCTTTCAGCCATTGGTCCTGTTTATGTGGCTCTCTTATGCATGGCCGGATGTGCAATGTGAAACATGTTGCTTTTTCGTCCAGCAGGCTTTGCCATTTTCGTGATATACACAGACGTCCCAGGCATGGGGTCATATAACGTATTTATGTATGGCAGAAAGGCCTAATACGGTTAATGAAAGCAGGAAGGCCATGGAGACGATGCTTGCTTGGTTTTACTCTCATTTTTTCTGATTTCTATGCTCGGGGATTGTAGAATATTCGTTGACATGAAATTCTGTTTAACTTCGTAATATTTTCCCATAAAAATCTCTATATTTTAAACGAGAAAGAACACGAAAAAAAAAGGAAAAAATAGAAACAGTAGGAGACGGAGACCAGTATTTACAATGTCTGCCGCTTTGCCGTGTGACGTTACCAACGGATTTTAACTTAGATTTTTCATTCTAGCCATGCTCGCTTTGATATTACCTACCATTTTTCTTCATATATGTTCCCCTCACTGACATGGACGGCGGCAAATCTTTTGTCGCTTTTTAAATCATGCCTACGAGTACGGGTTCGAGATAAAGAGGCTGGTTTTATCAAATGGTACTTTGCATCCCGTGATCATTGTCTTGTTAGGGCAATAGCCAAAAAGAAAAAACAAAACACCTTCACAGGCAGTCTGGGAAGACACGGATGACAAGTAAGACGCATCGAAATGCACTGAAAATCACTGCACCTCGCCCGTTGCTTGCCTTGCCGCCCGCTCTTCATTGCCGTCGATACAAGGTCCTCCCATTCTTTGGCGACGAGGCCATATTTGCAGCCATACAACCCTTTGTATCCACTCCTGTTCATTGCGTTCCTGTTGCCTACACTCGGCACGAACTGGGCTGCGTTGACGGCGAAGAAGGTTGGCTACCGACGTTCTGTGCTAGCTCTATGCCCGATTCTGCACCGAAGACATCGTAGACATCCTTGTTTGTTTGTCGATTGAAAAAAGTAAAACCTTACATTTGCTTTTCATTGCCTCCCTCGTCACTTAACACATGGGAACTTCATTTTGAGCCCGCACCTACGCCTGAACACGTTGTTCACATAGGACGAGTTTGAAAACAGATCAAGTTGAGGAAGAGTACGTAGGCACATTGTACGTAGAGGGATGTTGGGGACGGAAGACATACTGGACTGCATTGGGGTTCGACTCCTGGTGACCCTTTTCGTATGCAGTGCAACCATGCTCGTTTCCTCGCCTTGTATTTCCTTCTCGCAGTTGCGTACTAGTCTTCTTCCATTCTCGTGGAGGACACTATCAAAACGTCTCTATTGATCCGGGGCCGGGTGTAATGTGAATGGGACGCACCTTTCCTCACCGCCATTGTCAGAAGACGGAGGGGAGGACGCAACGGGGGCTACCAAACACTATGAATGGCCAACATTCTTTGGGAAAAGCTGGACGGGGAACAAGACCGGCGAGATAAGATGAACCAAACCACCGTTACCTTTTGGCCAACCCCGGGAGAATAAACGAATGAAAAGGAATGAACCCCTCCAAGATCTTCTGTAGGAGGGGAGGACATTGGTCGGGAAGATGAAGGAAAAATAGAGACTAGGGTGGAAAAAAAAAACTTTGGGGTCGTACTGCATACATAGTGGGAGGAGGGAGGATGAGGGGAGATAGAGGTTCAATACAAAGTCTTCTAAGAAAAATTCCCAAGAGGTGGGGCATTTCGCACCCTGCAACCGCGTTGATGATGATACGACTCGAAGCAAGTGTCAAGAGGGACGAAAAAAAGAAAAGCACGATGCAACAGTTCTGAGCCTTGAGTGCGGACGGCTCAGCAACGGTGATTTTGGAATTACGCTTTCTCTTTAGTTCTGCCAACCATCTGTGACCCATGCGCTTTCTGCGGCAAAGACACTAAATCGACGAAGGAAAACATGTGCCTTTTGTGGCACAAAGATACACAGGAGCCAGGGAGCCAGGCTAGGAAATATTTCTTGTACCAAGTGCAACCCCCCGGCTGTATTGCGGTCACGTTTGCCACTGATAGTGCATGATTCCTGCATATTTGGTGCCTTCACTATGCGCTTGTTGATGTGATGGCGGAGAGTGACGGACCGGGCAGGACGAGGAAGAAAATCTTGGTTGCCTCAGCTGGCATGCCTACGTATGTTAGTGTTGTGCCGAGTAGTATCACAAGTGCACGACATGTAAGTACATATGCGGCAGGAAAGGTGGGAAAGACGGTGACGAAAACAAGGCCCCACTACGGAAGACGGAGCACGAGAAGACTGTGAGAGCGTAGTTGGGTTGTGTGGATAGGCACATGATAATGGGAAAGGGGTCTTAGGGCGAAAGGCACAAGGCGGAGGGGCGAAAAGAAGAGGAGGATGGCAGATCAGAAATCAGGAACCGGCACTTTCAAAGTCGCTGGGACCAAAGAAGGCAAAGAGTATTTTGAAGCAAGAATCTGGGAAGCAGATCGCGCGTATCTTGTAGACAAGAAATACGCGGTAGGGGGAATGGATAAGAAAGGAAATCGAGGACAAGTACGGATTCTTGTTGCCTTTGCCCTGTTCTAAAAACAGGGACAAGACAGGTTTAGACAAGGATATACGACATACACACGACATATGTGTTGTAGTTGAGGGGTGTTTTTTTTTCTCATCTTGGAAGCCGGGCAGGCTGGGAGCCATGTTACAGCTGCTTTGTCGATTGGACTACTGACTTTACCCTTTAATGTTAAGAGAGGATCACGGATAGTGTACACGCACACGTACTCCGTATTTTGTTCGCAAACATGGTATCCTGCGAGGATGTGGCTTGTAGAGAGCTTCCCCGTGCTCAAAAGCGTCGTTTCAGTTTCAGCTGTTTCCCACCATTTTGGACGACGTCAGCTAAGCATTTCCGCGAAAGAAGCACACAAAGCATGCGAGTCACACGAGTCACTGTAACGGGCCAGCGGGCCCATATCGACAAGAAAATCGTCAAACGCCCAGTCTTTCCGTCCTATATTTAGTGCCATTTTGAGCTCTTTTATGATGGAGACGGCCCAGGGCGTGGGGTCAAAGGGAGGGACTTTGGGTGGTTAGGAATGTCGAAAGCGGAGGAGAAATATGCAGATCGGCCGTTACGTGATAGGCACGCAAGAGCAAACGGGACAAAGCAGGCGTTGTTGATTTGATGGGGCGTTCAAGCTTTCGCTGGTAAGAAAGGAGACGAAACTGAGGCGGAGAGGCACAATCAATAAAACATACACGTATGGGACCTTCACAATTTATACAAAAGGACTCGGCATGACCCAACCCCAATGCTTGCCTAAGATCTCTGGAACTTGGTCCTGTCTGAGCTTCTGAGCCCGCCAACCTTCTTGGTAATACTCCGCACAGCCTTGCTGATGGGCGGCACAGGAGGCGCTCTCTAATGTGTCCACTCTTGGTCGGTTTCTACTGAAAGAGGAGCCCCAAGCAGAGATAACGGGGGCCACATTGTTTGTAAAAAGGGGTCCAAGAACGAGAAAAGGACGAGAAACCGCAAAATAATGGTGCCACCGTAAAAAAACGCGTAAAGTGGATGGGGATTTCAATGAAGCCGTGCCGAGATGCGTTGGGTTAGGCCAGTTTCCCCCTATTTTGTTTCTCGTTCATTCTCATCCCTGGTCGTCATAATATTACGAATGCACTGTTACCCCCCAGGCCGGGGCCAATCACAAGTGCTCTTCCTACGACGCGTCTCCCTGTCCGCACGCAGTGCCACTTCAGTTCCACTCAGCCGTTCGTCGTCTCGTTGCTTGCTCGTTTCTGTATTTTATTTTTTTCTTGCTAGATGTGTAGTACCAACCTCATCCTTGTGTCGCATACCGTACCGGCGAATAAAACAAACATTGAGAGCGTGTCTGAGCGCAACTACGAAAGAACTAGGCCAGACATAAAGGTGACGCAGAAAGTGGGGAGGACTTACTCGTTATACGACGGCCATACGGATTACCAATGTACTCAATCACCGAACTGGCCGTCATCGCCTGTTTACGCAAGCAAAACTGACAAGAATAGAAAAATACGAGGTTCAGTAGGTAATTGCGACGTAGACAACCTGACAACGGATCAAGACATCCAGACAGGTCTTACACGTTATTTTTACAGACAGGTGCTTTTTTGTTTTCTTTTCCTTCTGGTTGGTTTGGCAGTGATTATTTTGTGCTCTGCGGTTCGTTCCTGTTTGTTGGTGTCAAAGACGACCGCATTTCGTGTGCAGCTCCAGCTGCTTCTCTTTCTTTGTTTTGTTCTGATTCGTGTCTCCTCGATCGCCATTGTCAGGGTCTTGTTTTCCCCTGCAGATACGACGCCGAGGACGCCTGATCTCATTGATCCATTCCTACGAATACGCACGGCCTTATCCTTCGCCCTCGCGTCTCTCGCAGTTTCTTCCTGCCCTGTTCCCTCGCCCCCCGCTCCTCGTAATTTAGCAATTGCCTGTTTTGCTCTGGTGTGGTTCCCCTTGTTTCTACTTTGCATTTTCTCCATACATCGTACAGCAAACACACCTTGTATTTGTAGATCAGCCATGACGAGAATCAGACCCTAAGAACCCCTTTTCTGTTGACGGGCGCTGGACGAGCATTCCATTTCATAGCCGCTTGACGCTTGGCCTGCCACTGTTGTCTGTGTTGTTGTCGTCCCATATTTTTTGCTTTTAGTTTTGCCCATTCCGTATTGCTTGTTTGCTTGCCCCCGTTTTCCCACGAGCCCGTTGCCTCCCTAAAGCACCACACCCACTTCACCCACTCGACTTTCCGTGCTGCTGCTTGGCTTCCTCACACGACGTATCTTGTGTGGAAGAAATAGGTCGACAATCTAGCGACGGGCATGCCAAGACCAGAGAGTCTCTTACACGGGCTTCACTGGTACAGTAAAGTGTACAACAGAGCTGTGTAGCCTTCTTCCCCATGGCTGTTATTGCACCTTATTGAACACCTGTGGATCGGTAACTGTCTCATTATGGTGGTTTTTGCGAGTACAAGACACGGGAGAGACCGCACTGTCACGCACTCCGTGTCCTGCAAATTTGAGCCTTGTATTCTGTATTGAATCCGCATTTTGCAATTGGCGAAGGGCCTGGCCCGGCCGATTTACACGGAAGAGTCGCCGTGCCTCCTTGATTAACTTCACATCTTTTCTTGCCACTGCGCAGAATTCATACCAAGCCAGCAGGAATGGCCCGTCCACAATCAAGAGCAATCGAGACGGGTGTCCCATGTCAAAAGAAGGCTGCTTACTTTCGTAGTGGTCTGGTCATCCTCGCAAAAGCGTCCCCTATTTTGTGTTTTTCTGGGGTTGGCCCTTGCGTTCCATCCCCCCTGGCGAGAACCCATGCTCCGTCCGCACGGTGGCACATTCAACCAGTTTTTATGCTGCACTGGGAAGGAGACGAGATGCTTAATCCATCATCCTGTCCCATGCCCCTCTCCTGTCTGCATCTGACAGAGAATCTCAAAATGCAGGGTAGGTTGACAGCTTGGTTGTCTTTTCTCCACGTGCAGCCAAGCGAAATAACACTCTGTTTTTGGTACATTCAATACTGCTGGTATGGGACCCTACACTGCACGTTGTAATGGCGATGTGCGACCTGAAGAGGGCCGGCGTGTTACGGAGAGTTGTGGAGAACGGTAATCGTACGTGGAGTTTGGTGAGACATGCGCCTGCTCTACCGTAAACAAAAGAGAAAAAAAAGGAAAGAAAAACATACTTCGTAAAAGAAAAAAATAAATCAACTTACCACCTCAAAGGCTCAACCCTGTCCCTGTTGCTCACGCACTGTCGACGATTGCCGCACGGCTTTCGACCGGGAAAAGGGACGAACTGTCGCTGGTGTCGGCGGCACATCGTCAGACAAAACACGGAAAATACGCATATGCATAGGCAAAGGCAAGGGGACAGGGCAATTAGTCCTTTGGGCCCTCGGTCTTGGGGTACGGGATCCCGTTTTCTTTAATATTTGGTTGTCTTGGGACGCCTCGTGCTGCACAGATTGTAAATATTACATTTTTTTTCATACATGCCGCATCTGCACATAACACTACGAAGTATGTCGCCGAAGCCGTCGAGATGAGACCGCGCTTGATAGTACAGGGAAAAAGGACTAAGGGTAAAGACAAATGGTCCTCGCTTAGGCTTTCTGGTGTGGTAATGTGCAGATGTATGTCGTATCTTGCCTTGTAATTTGGAGACGTCCCTGTCACCTCCGCCCAACCCCGGGCAAGACAGATCAGATCGCCCCTTTTCTCATATCTTGGCTGCCTTGGTCTGGCATAATCGAAAGCATGCAGCGTGTTGAATCCTGTACGGTGTTGTTTTATGGTGTACTTCTGTAATACATAGCATTTGTGCCGCATTTGTCTCGTTGACCTGAGATTTGGCGTTTCTCGCACCGAGCGGTTCCGGAAAAGATTTGTCTTGCTTCAGCAGTATCTTCTTCTTTTTCTTCTTTTTTTTTTTTTTTTTTTTTGGCAGCGATATGTCGTAGGTCAGACCAAGCAGGAAGTCTTCCTCCTCACTCAATGATTTCCTCAGTTGTTGACATTTGTTAGGCCCAGGTCTACGAACCTTGCCACTCAACAGACTCCATCTTTCCACCTGTGTTCGCAATATATGCGATGTAATATCTACAGTTGTCTCGCCTGCAAGCCAAAATTGGGCTGGTTAAGGTCCTTCCAAATTGGCCAGAGACATGTGCGGAGCATTGCTGCTCTTTCCCTTCTTTGAACGCTTGTGTGCTCCGTGCTCCGTGGTCTATTATTGTGCTGGAACCTGGCCCTTTCCCTTTTGGTGCATCTCGCAACACGCGCTAGCGTGTAAATCTCCAGGGGCCCCTGGAATCGTGCTCTGCAGCAGCCTGCAGCAACCTGCATCGAGCAACTTCCAGGGCCTAGTGGGGTCAGCATCGCCTTCTGTCCAACAGCATGGCTGCCCTGACTTACGCCCTAAACGGCCCTGAAAACAAACCGCTTCAGGCACCGTCACCGCACGTTTTGTATTCCGCGACCTTTTTGGGTGCACGTTGGACCGCGCCTCTGTCCATGTTGTACGACTTGTGGAAAGAGCTCCACACAACCTTTTCTCTTGCTTCGATCATTTTCTCGTAACCGCCTTCCTGGCCGCATCCACTCGCAGTAGCGTAGCGCCTTCTTCGATCTCCGGCCCATCCAGCGCCATCGGTCGGTCCTTCCCTGCTTTGTCTCCTGCTTTTTGCCCACGCCATTGAGTCGTTACCCAGCTGTTTGGCGGTCGCTCTTGCCTCTATCTCGGGCGTAATACCCAGCCTTTTGGGGGTTGTTTGCCCTCTGCATATCATCGCCTCTTTCTTGTCCTCGGCTCTCTTTTCTGATTTCACTCCCCCTCAAGTCGACCTTCGTTTCAAGATTCTCGCATCTCCTCTGTGCATTTTATTCTAGACTTCGTCGCCTGCCATTTTTACCGTTTTCTTTTGCCTCGCGAGTATCTCTTGTCTCTTGCCCTCTCAAAAGTATCCATTGGTTTTTTTGGGCCTCACGCCCCCCCCCCCCCCCCTTAATCTCGCCTTCGTTTTTTCTCTACCATCACCCCCATTCTTAGACATACACAAGCCTGCTGTAGTCGCAGTAGCAGGTTGCATTGTTGCGGCGCCAGCAAGCCCCCTCCCCCATCTCATTTTCTCATTCCCGTATTCCCTGGCTCCGGTGCGTAGCCACGGGTGTGTTTTGGCCCTGCTCCAGCGGGCCACTGTCTCGCCTGGCTCTCTCTCCACCTCTGCCTCGCCTCTCTCCTCTCTGTTCTCCTTTACTCGTCGTGTCAGTTCGTCTCCTCTCTTCTCCCTTCCTACGTCTTCCGTTTTTCCTCTGCTGCTCCTTTCCTTCGTTCTTTGTCGACCTCACTTCCTTTTCTCCTCTCCGTGCTAACTCACACGCGTCCCTGGCCGTCTCCTTTTCTCCTTGCCTCTTCTTTTTCCGTTTCGGCTTTTTCTTCATCTTCTCTTGTTTCCTTTCTGTCTGTTGCTCGTCGTCCTTCGCTCGTTTTCTCGTTCGGCTTTTTCTCTGGTTAAAGGAGAGCAACCGGGGTCCGTTTGTCTCGCTCTGTCCTCCGCTCGTTATCCGATCTTTCTCTTCTTCGTTTTTTCCTTTCGTTTTGTCTCTTTCGACTTATTTATCGTCTGCAAACTACGCCTCTTTCCGCTGCTTCTACGATCATTTTTTGGAGGGTTTCTGTTGACTTTTTGGTTCTTGTGTGCTTTGTTATTTCTCTCGCCTGTCCTTTTCTTTTCAGCTTCTCGACCGTCTCCTCCCGCTTCGATCAACCCTGATCTTCTTTTTTCGTCTCGCCCGTCTCGAACGATCTCCTATTTCCCTATTTCCACCGAACATCGTATCTTTCGGTTTTCGTATCTACGAGCGTGGCCTTCTCGACGCCTTCTCGATATTCCTTTCTCCTACGAACAAGCGAATACGGCTGCTTCGCACAATTCCAATCGACCATACTCATTTCCCTCTTCTCCCCCGTTTGCGTCTCCTCCTTCGATTCTTAGTTCTGGATGACTGGGACCGCCTACACTTGAACGTGATCTTCGTCGACACTGTCTGACAAGTCACCACGGTATCGACCCGACCTGTTAGTTCTGTCCTACCTCCCATCGTCCTCGCGTGTCTCGCCTTGCCCACACATGCCATACCACCTTCTTCAAACCAAACCATCCTGGTGAAATCCTTTGCTGCTTGCCTGCTTCGCCGCCCGTCTTGCCCTACAAACAGCTCTCCCACACACCCATTCACCAATATAACGGTCTTGCCACACCCCCAGCTTATTGAAACCCGCAAATCCGCTCACTCTCCTCTTTCGTCGAGGAGGGTTGCTCAAGGTTTCTTGTGCCTGAGCCTGAAATAGACAACCAGCACGCACAATCTTGGTGCGAAAGCTTCATGACAAACAGACTTGTTGTCACCTGCATTCACCTACATTCCCCTGCATTCATCAGAAGTTTTGTGAAGACAAAAGGCGTTTTGTCTGTTTTCCTGGCCATGAACATTTAGCTTGCATCATCTTCCGTCCATCTTGGACAGTCTCTCGTGATTCACTACACAGCGTCTTTCCATCCCACGCATCTCTTTGCTACCTAGTGGCTATCATGAACGTCTCTTACTGACCCGTATGCCAGCAGCGCTCTCTCAAGACTAAGCTTCTTTGTCTAGGCGGTAGGGTAATATGGCTGCTTTGGTCCAGGGCTACCCTCAACAAACTGGATCATTGACCATGCTTCAAACACGGCCTTCTTCCGCTGGTGGCATGCTGCCTCCTCAGAACCAGGGCTCGTCGCAGTACGCTGCCCAGCAGCCGCGCACCAGCTTCTACGGAACATCCAATAACATGGGGGCAGCTCCTGTACTCTACCGCTCCTCTACGGCACCGATCCAGCCATATGCATTCACATCTACCCCGAGCCTTCACGCCACAAATGCATGGCAGCCTCAGATGCAGCAGCACTCACAATACACCACGGCCGGCAACTCTCGGACCTCCAACACCGCTCCTCAATTGCCCAGAGTGCAGAGCTTCGACAGTGCTCAGAGCCTTGCACGGATCAGCCGCCAGCCGGCCAGCGCCTCCACGAACAACCTGGCTACCGGCACACCTGCCGCGAACCGTTTCGTAGGCAGTCGCGACGACTCATCATTGCCTACCCAGGGTGTTCGTCGTGTGTCTGCTACACCGCGACCTCAGTCCGCCGCCTATCTGACTGGTTCTGCTCCGCAGCTCTCATTTACGCAAGCGATCCCTGCTCGGCCCTCCCCAGACAGATACAGGCGGCCGGCTGGCAACTCGTCGCAGCAACAGCAGAAGCAGGCTTCACAATCACAGGCCTCTGCCGTGCCTTCCGGTTCCGGCATGGCCAGCGTTGGCCACCTGTACGCCTCGAACGGCGGCAGCAACAGTAGCCTGCCCGACCAGCAACAAAAGTCCTCGATGCTGCGCACGCAGCCTCTATCTCAGCTGGGCGCGGATCCACGCCGGAACAGTTTCCACGACAATATGCTGAGCGGTTTGGCTGCCGACGACATCCAGCTGCATCGCCAGTCCAGTGATGATGTGAAGCGGTTCCGTCGCCGTAGCATGTCGTCTCTGAGCGCCTCCGAGTTCTCGATTGCCCCTGTTCTGCCAAGGCCCGAGGATTTCCGCCGGCAACAACAGCCTGCGCCAAGGAGCCCCACCAAGGAAAAGCTTCTGACGCCCGTGAACTCTCACCAACCTGTGGTGCATCACACAAAGGCCGGCAGCTCTGAGAGCATCGCATCTCACCGCAGCAGTGGCTCGCGTCCATCTGTAAGTGCTTTTTCCATTACGTGTTTTGACAAGAATGAGTATCCCACTATTTAATTCCCCCTGCGTACGCAGTAACACTCTTTTGCCCAATCACGAAATACGTTGGGTGGGTTTGGGCTTAACCGATTCACTAATGCATGGCATCCATTTCGTATAGTCTACCAACCGGAACAAGTCTTCTCTTGCAGGCTCCACTACCAATCCTGCGTCTGCAGTCATTGTCAACCAGAACGATGCGCTTACCGACAAGAGCAAGGAAACCCCGAGACTCATTAACATCCCGCCCCGCATCTCTTCCGATGTCACCAGCCGTCTGGCTAGCACGTTGTCGTTCACTGGCACACCTGTCGACGTTGGTAGCGAAGGCAGCGATGCTGGCGGTCCAATCGTGACGGCCCCTCCCGCCATCAACCAAAACGGCAACACAGCTAGCCCGGCTGGTAGCATCCGCGAGGCTCCGGCGGCCCGGCCGTCTGGGATGCCGAGCCACCTCGAGAGTCCTGCTATGCGCCATCTTTCTGCTATCAACCAAAAGGGCGGCAGGCTTCGGAGCAAGACGTCAAAACTCCGCCGTGCGTTCTCTTTTGGTAGTGCTGCCGACTTCCGCAAGGCAGATGGTCCGGACGAAGAAACTGAAAACGTGACTTCGCCGAACAAGTTGCAGAAGGAGATGACCAACCAAGAGGCGTACGATGCTGAGCAGGCTCGTATTGCGCAGCAGCAGGAGGAGGGTGGCATCGGCAGCAGCATTTATGGCGCCAAGATCTTTTCGGGCTCGACCGACAACCTGTCCATCTCATCGACGGCTTCGTCTGCGTCCGTCATGATTCGCAAGATGGGTCGCGGCATGAAGAAGAGTACACGGTCGCTTGTCGGCCTGTTCCGGCCCAAGTCTGTCATTGGTGTTCCAGCTGCAGACGGACCGGTGGCCAGCCCTGTCACAACGTCGAACGGCGAGGCCGTTGAGGCTACTGTTTCGATGGTGACAGTAGAGGCTGAGCGCGAGCGTGTCAATGTCAACTCAGATCTTCACGATAAAACCGGCGGTGGTACTGGCTTCCCGCGGCTGGAGAGAAACTCGATTGATGCCTCTCGCATCTCCATGACATCTGACCGCCTGGATAGCTCGGGCACCGACAACTCGGCGGCGGCGCGGAAGAGCATCATTGAGGGCGACAAGGAGCGTGCTGAGGTTCTGGCGGCTGTCCGGAAGGGCATTCTGAAGAACACCAGCGGCGCCTCCAGCCCATCGCGAAGTCCAGCGGACATGCGTGGTCCCGCCCTTGAGCTGTACAACCCGCCTCCCATTAGCGAATCACCGGCGTCGAGCGCGCCTAGTACGCCCAACGATGATGTGCAGGGCCATAAACGGACGGGCTCTGTGGCTATTGGCGGCGAGGACTATTTTGTCTCGGCGCTTCGTCTGCGCAACGACAGCCGCAGTGGTAGCAGCACGCCGCAGGGCTCTATGAAGCGGTCTGCTACATTCAGCCCCCGTATTGTGTTCTACGACACATGGCACAGCCAGGAGTACGATCGCCGGGGCGAGATTGCCACCTGCAACCGCTTGACACCTATGCTTGCTCAGCAGATCAAGGAGGAGCTGAATAGCTTTAAAATGGTACGTTGCGCTGCTCTTGTTTTTTTTTTTTCTAATTACGACGTATATACTAACTCACTGTCCTGCTGCAGGAAATGGAGGTTCACGAAAACTCGAAGATCTACACGCACTTCTTCTAACGAACATGAACAACGGCGGATACTCTTCACCATACATTGTTTTCGATCGTCCGGCACATTAGCAAAGCCGATATTTTGCGACTCGCATATTGTATTTTCAGCAGCCGTATTTTCTGTTACTCGAGAATTTTGTCTCTCGAACAGCATTGTCTTGGTGTATTGGCGTTGTTCAGGCTCGTGACCCTTTTTTTCCGACGTGGCAGCTGAAAAACCAAATATGCCGACGTGTTTTACCGTTTGGCTGTCCACGACTTACAGCTGTCACAACCGGCATAAACGATCATCAAAATTCAACACGGACTTGCACTGCACCAACGAAAATAGGACAGAGAGAGAGAGGAGAGAAAGGAGATTTCCCGGACTGGTAGGAGCAATTCAGTTTGTATTCTGCCTAAGACGGTCCGGAAGAACGAAAAACAGACCAGCACCACTGAAAAGATGGAACAAGTACAAAAGTCCTTTGACGAAACAACGGACGGATTTGAGTTTTTGGGGCATCCGAAAACAGTGGTGCAAGCAAGCAGCGACTTTTACGGTACTTTTTCTTGAGTGTTTTTATTATTTTACCTTATTGGTTTAGCTTATCTCGTTTCTGCTGTTTCTTAGTCATGGCGATCGCGCTCATATTTTTTTCCCCTGTCATGTTTTCCTTTCTGTCGGCTTTCTTGTCATTTTCCGTTTATTTTTTTCTTCCCTCTTTCTGGCATTTCTGTTTTCTCCTCCCCTGCTGCAGGCGGCCTAATTTCTGAGAGTGTGTGCATTGTTCTAGTTTAGCAGCAGCTGAGAAAATAACAGACACAGAAGTGGAAAGCACTGACGATTCGACTCAAAGAGCCATTACAATATCCGTATGAAAAGTGAACAAAACAAGCAAGTTAGAAGATCCGACGTATGCGTTGGCATAAAGGAAGGACGCAGCCCCTGATCATAAAACCATAATTTATTGTCCTGCATTGTGGCGCGGAAGCTATGGCGACGAAACACTCAAAAGTCCCAAAAATAACGTCACCTGTGGGGGCGTCTCCTATTCCAGTGGTCCAAAGAGTCCACTGAACTGCATATGACGCGGGGCTGAAGATTGGACCCAACATGCAGGCTGCTAGCCAATCACGACGCGACAGCCAAGCATTTTGGACCCCGTCAGTTTTTCGGTCTCCCGCTCTTTCTCAGCCTTGCGCTATGATCCATAAAAGGTAAGTGTCAAGGCGTTGGCAGAAGGTGGTGGTCGACCAAGCCTTATCGCGATAAGAAACAACCCGCCACAGAAACTTTTTTTCCCCAACCGGAAAGACGGAATAGGACTCACTTTCTAATCACTTAAACGAGGCGCACGTACATTTCTCGTCTTCCACACGCAATTGCGACAATCCCAGACACGACGACATTCTGTCATTTTGCCTTTGCGACAGACCCTGAAAAGCTGGAGGCCCGTATTCTGCGACCGGTGTGGGCTTGGGCGCGGCCGTTTCGTCCAGCGCCGTCAACTTGCATCCCTCTCCCCTCGTCTTCTTTCACGAATTCATTCGTTTTTAGATTTGACTTCAGCCGCTCTACTGCCAGCATGTCACCCACAGAAGCCGCCGTCCCAACTGCGACTGCGGTGCCTCCAGTGGCGGAGGCATCAAATGGCCTCTCGAAAAAGCTGCACGGCCGTGCCTTTTACGAGAGCATTGGCAGTCCAAAGCACATTGTCGCCCCTATGGTCGACCAGTCCGAATTCGTATGCCCTCGTGCCCCTCCATTTGTCGCTTACCACTGTGTAGATGCTTTGCTAACCTTCTGTTCGCCAGGCTTGGCGTATGCTGACACGTTCTTTCCTGCCGCCCGACCAACGCACCTCTGTTCTGGCTTATTCTCCGATGCTGCACGCGCGCCTTTTTGTCGACAGCCCTCGCTACCGCGAACAACACTTTGAGGCCATCAAGGAAGACAGCGGTTTAAGGGGCGAAGCAACGAGCACTCCGAACGAGACCGGTGAACAGCAAAACGGTGGTGACAGCGCCAATGGCACTGGTGTGGGCACCGACAACGGCCTGCGCCCTTTTCTTGATGGCAACCCGGCCATCGACCGACCCCTCTTTGTCCAATTTTGTGCCAACGATGCCGACGCCCTGCTGTCCGCTGCTCGGCGCGTAGCGCCCTACTGTGATGCCGTCGACCTGAACCTGGGCTGCCCACAGGGCATCGCTCGTAAGGGCCACTACGGCGCTTTTCTGCAGGAAGAGCCAGAGCTGATTGCGAAGCTGATTCACACCTTACATGAGAACCTGGATGTGCCCGTGACGGCCAAGATTCGGCTCCTGGACACACCAGAGGCGTCACTGCAGTACGCGCGCACGGTGCTGGCGGCGGGCGCGAGCATTCTGACGGTGCACGGGCGGCGGCGCGAGCAAAAGGGCCACATGACGGGCATTGCCGACTGGACGATGCTGCGGTATCTGCGGGAGAACCTGCCCAAGGAGACGGTGTTGTTTGCCAACGGCAATGTGTTGGAGCACGGCGACGTTGAGCGCTGCCTGGCTGCCACAGGGTTCGACGGCGTGATGAGTGCCGAGGGTCTCTTATCGAACCCTGGGCTGTTTTCGCCACCACCACCCCCTTCCGTATCTGCACCAGAGCCAGAATCGTCCGCGCCGGCTGTGGCCGATCCAGAATACTACTGGCATACCCCCGACCCGCGCCGCGAATACTGGACCAGCAGCCGTCCAGGCAGTCGGCGCGGTGGCTGGCGCATTGATGCCGTCATGCGGCGCTACCTCGACATCCTGCACGTATATTGTTTGGGCGAGGCTGCACCGCCGGCTCGCAAGCCGCTGTTCATTGTCGGCGATCCCGTCGAGTGGCTGAAGGAGGAGGAGCCTGAGCAGAGCAACACGAACGGCGCTGGTCCCAAGGGGGCTGAAAACGGCGAGCCGGCACGAAAGAAGCGCAAGCAGGACAATCACACCAATGGCAATGGCAATGGCAGTGCCACGCCCGCGCAACCCATCCCCAAGGAAATCTTCAACTCGCCCAACTTTGTCGCCGTCCAGGCCCACCTGTTTCACCTGTTGCGCCACGCCGTCGGCAAGCACCACGACATCCGCGACAGACTTGCCCGCACGCGCAAGGCTGACATGGCTGGCTACGAGCGGATTCTGGCCATGCTCGAGAAGCGTGTTGGCCAGGCGCTGCTGGCGGGTGAGGACAAGGCATTCGAAGCGGAGTACGAGGCCGGCGCAGACACCGAGGTCGAGCCAGAAATTGTCGACGACCCCAACTCGTCGGCGGCAGCGATCCGGCGCTGCAAGCGGCCATGGTGGGTGGTGCAGCCGATCCTGCGGCCGATGCCGGCAGAGGCGCTGGCCAAGGGCGCGATCCAGTTGAAGAAGAAGGCCAAGGCGGAGCTGGAAAAGGAAACGAAGGAGGCGGACAAGAACGACGACACGACCAAGGAGGCTGAGGCCGCGGTGGTGGTATAGGAACAATATCCTTACTTGGTGTATATACTTCACAATCGCAGCGCGTCTTTATATCATTGATGTTTGCCCTGACCTGGAAATTCAAAGTTCTTTGTAGACAACCAAACAATATTCGCTGAACCGGACATGAAAGCTAGAGTACATGAGACAGGAAGTAAGGAAGAAGATAGGGAAGTAGAGAAAATAATCTCAGAAATGTAGGATATCGTCCACATACCACACCAAAACAACCACGATTACAACGGTACTAAAATAGTATTGGAATTGGAATAGGATTTAATACGATTTACTCGCCAAATCCTAACAGCGGTACAACTAGTCCCCACGGCGATGCTTTTTCGGCGGCGCATCGTTTCCAGCACTTGACACGCTGTCGCTGCGCCGGCGGCGGCGGCTGCCACCGGCTGGTGGCAAAGGCGACCGCGACGGCGACCGCGATGGAGACCGGGACCGCGAGCGAGAGAGGGACCGAGACGGTGACCGTGAGTATCCATTGCGGGCACGGCCACGGCCACGGCCACGGGGAGACGGTGAACGCGGCGCTGTGCGGCTGCGTGAGCGCGTCATCGAACGGCCGCGGTGCACGGGCCGCTCTTTGTCCTTGAATGCGGTTGGTTTTGTCGACGCCGACCAAGCCGCAGGAGGAGGCGATGGTGAGCGAGAATAGTAGGAGTAGGAGCGACTGCGTTGGCGCCGGGTGGTGGCAGGTTGCTTGCCGTTGCGACGAGGTGCAGGCGACACAGACCGAGACGCAGACCGAGACAAGGAACGCGATGGGGACCGGCGGCCCCGCGCGCTTTTGGCGGCTCGCGGCGGCGATCGGGACGCGGTGTATGATCGAGATCGGGAGCGGTAGGAGAGAGAGCGGGAGCGCGAACGAGAGCCGGAGGGCAAACGCGAGTCGTACGACCGCTGTCTCCGGCGAGGAGAGCGAGAACGAGAGCGGGAGCGGGACGGCGTCCGCGAATAGGACGACCCTGTATACGACGACGAGTAGCTCGAGTACGAGCCCGAGCGCGAGCGCGAACCAGAACGGTCGCTCGGGGCGGCCGCCACGGCTGGCAAGGTCGGCTTGGGCAGGTTGATCAGCCGCTCGCGCATTTCCTCGGTCAGCGCACCCATGCCGATGCTGGTAAAGTAGTTGATGGAGAAGCGCAGGCTGCGGGCGTTGTCGACGGGGAAGAGGCCTTCCAGGCTGGGCTTGAGGTCGACGTCGTCGCGGAACCGGGCTTGCAACTTTGGCAGGCCCATGGCCTCGGACATCTCCTGGAACAGAATCTTGATGAAGATACGGCTGGCGCTCGTCGTCTCGTCCTCGTTGAGGTGGATGCACGACAGCACGTACCAGCCAATGGCGTTGCTGGCGAGCATGTGGCCAAAGAAGCAGGCAATGTTGCGCAGGCGGTTCGTCTCGTAGCGGTGGATGGTCTCGTAGTACTTGGTAAAGGCCTCCTCGAACATGGTGGACCACCGGCGGTTGATCTTGGCCAGGCGCTCGCCAATCAGGCCAAAGAACTTGGTGTATGTCTTCTCCTGGGAACAGCACTCGACCACCATGGACGGCAGCTCGTTCTCGCGGCCCTCAGGCAGGTCGACGGCCAGCAGCTTGTGGACGGCCTCGTCGGCGTTCATGGAGCTCTGGATCGTCAGGTAGATGGTGCGGCGCAGGGACACGAGATCCGCATTGGTCCGGTCCTTGATGTCGATGGCATTTTGCGCGGCCTCCTCCTCGTCTTCGCTAGAGCTGTCGTCATCGGAGCCCGAGTCGGAGGCGGAGTCTGAGTCCGACCGGTCAGAGCCGTCTTCGCTGTCGCTCTCGTTGAGAATCTCGCGCCGCAGCTTGGCATACTCCTTCTCGTTGGCCTCCCAGTTCTCGTCGTACCGGAAGATGTTGAGCGTCGCCTCGTCGTCGAACTTGCCGTTGAGCTCGAGCAGGTGCTTCACCTGGTCCTCCTCCTCGATCAAGTCCAGGTCGTCGCGGATCGCCGGCTGGTCCTTGAACTGATCCTTGCGGTTCTGGAACAGTACCTCGATCGCGTACTGCGTCCGCTTGTCGATATCGGCCTCGTTCAGAATGTGGTGGAACCGGTCAAAGACGACGACCATGATCGTCGGGTTCATTGTCTCCATGTAGTTGCCGACCTCGCGGGTCAGGTTGACTGCAATCTCGACGCTGTCGTCGGTCGGGTGGTGCAGCAGCAGCATCAACATCTGCGCGGCAATCATCTCGTCGGCCACTTGCGTGTTGACCAAGTGGGCGATAAACGTCGTCGCGCTGCGACACACAGCCTTGTCGTTGCGGCGGAAGCCCTTGCGGAAGCGCAGCAGCAGCCGGCGCAGCAGCAGCTCGCCGACGGCAGGGAGCTTGCTGTTGACACAGGCGGCGATGCACGCATAGACGGGCGTAAACGGCAGAGACGCATACTGGGCCTTGATCAGGCTCTGGGCCAACAGGCCTCGGCCGCGGATCAAGTTTTCGCCAAACAGCTCGTTGATGATCTGGCGCATGTTGCCCGCGGTCGCCTTGTTGACCATGCCGTTGATGGACTTCTTCAGAGCCTCCCAAGCCATGCGCTGGTACTCCTTGGACGTCTTGTCCTGGACCTGGGCCTGGAGAGCACGCAGCCGCGCTGGCGGCACGTACACGCCACCCGACCGTGCCGTCAGGAGACGGTTGTATTCGGCCTTGGCCGCTGCCTGCTTTTCTGCATCGGTCGGTTGGGGTGGCGGTGTGCGTCGGCGCGAGGGGTGTGTATTGGTCGGCCGAGGAGAGCGTCGACGAGGAGGAGGAGAGGCCCGTCGCCGGGGAGGAGATGGCGACCGACGCGGGAGAGGCGACGGGGAGCGGTCGCGTGCAGCCGGCCCTGGCGACGGAGAGACACTGGCCGTTCGGTTTCCATCGCGGCTACGGTCGCGTAGCTCGGGTGACTGTGACTCGGCCATCGTGAGGATGTGAGGACGGTGAGAACGACACAAAGACCGACAAAAGTCTGCAAACTGCAAACAGAAATTGCTTTTTGGGGGGCCTGTTGGTCAAGGCAGTCGAAAACGATGCCGGTGCAGAATCAGTCGCGTCGCAGTTTCGTCGCCAGACACCCCTAAGCTCGCCTTTGTGAACGTCGAGGGCAGGCTTTGTGGCTCGAATGTGCAGTCTCAGGGAATAAAAAGAAAACAAAAATGGAAAAGGGCCTAATTCTCACGATGATCGCTTCGCGCACGCAAGGCAAGTGCAGACGTGAATGGAGCGAAAAATGGGTGGCTTGCAGCCTGTGGCGTCGCCTTTTTGCTTGGAGGCGAAAAAAATTGGGACGGGAAGGTGCGAGCGAAGAAACGACCAAATCAAAGTGGGTCCACAGGTGCCTGCTGCAGCAGGAGCTCTTTGCGTGCAGCAAACGCGCCTTGCCGTTTTGGAGTAGGTTGCGCCAGGGGGCATTGCACCTCTGCATGGGCTAAGAGAACAGAACACGATACTAACTTTCATCTGGCTCTCGATGCGCGTCGTCGATGCTCTCCCTCATGCACCCTGCTTTTACCACACGAGAAGACTGATCCATCGCCGCATTTCGCATACACTCCGAGCTCCGCTCTCTGCTCTTGTCGCTCCTTTGACTTTCCTCAACACCACCAGTTGTCATCTCTTTCCCCTGACGACTTTCGCCGCCGCTTTTCGCCGTTCCCCCCTGTCTTGCGACCAAAAGCACCGAGTCTCTTGACGATGGTGAGTGCATCCTGGGGTGTGCCTTTTCTGGCATTGCTATGTTACTAACTCTGCGTGTGCAGTTGGACAAACTTGCAGGTCTCGCCATGCTCGTGGCTGCTTCCGTCGTCTTCCTTTACTACACCATCTGGGCTCTGTTGATGGTGAGTCGGCCCACCGTTCTATAATTTTCGGATTTCAGACTTGCGCAGATGCTCTTGCGCGTATGTGCCGCCCCATGCTGACGTCTCCCCTCCCCGCGCCAGCCCTTTGTCGATGCCGACCACCCGCTCCAGAACTTCTTCCCGCCGCGCGTCTGGGCCATCCGCATCCCCGTCATCCTCATCCTGCTGGGCTCGGCCGTTGTCGGCACGTTCCTTAGCATCGTCATGATCCGCAGCAACCGCAAGAAGTCGTCCAAGGCGAAGGCGGCTGCCGCCAAGAAGAAGGCGTAAACGAGACGCCAAGGTGCCGAGAGAACTGGTGTGCGCATGTGCCCAAGAGGATGCATGCGCGCATGGGCTGGAGGATGAACCAGGCACGATGGCGCATGCTATGCACCCCACCGGCCATTGCGTGGCTGTCCTTGCCAATTACACATGAAAGTCGAGGTCTTGTTGGAAATAAAAAATTCGAAGAAAAGGCTCGATGGTGCTGCCGCGGCTGCTTACTATGACACCTGCCAAAGGCAACGAGGGAAACAAAACAAACGTACGGGTGACTGGACACATATTTACAACTGAATAAAAATAGACATTCCTTGATTTTGCTGCGTGCCATTGTCAATAACCATGGCTATGCCATCTTGTTTATTAGCTTTCACTCGATGCGCGGATGATGTTGAGATGAGCATGAAGTTAATGCATCTATGCTACCCAATGGAGACAAGAAATATAAAACAGCCCGAGAACAAAAGGTCCCAAACTCAAAGCAGGATGCAAGGGAACAAGATGCTGGATCAAAGAGAGAAACACCGTATTCAAACCCAAACAAAGTGCAAAGTGCAGTATATGATTGTTTTCTTCGTCGAATAAAACAGGTCCCATGATACACTGTGTAGTTCAACCACAGCCCATTAAAATTATACTCTCTGGTCCGCAAAGTCAAGGACCTCGCAGTCGTCCTCAAAGAACCCGTCCTCGTCGTCCGGGTCACCCGGCGACGGACGTCCGCCACCACGCCTCCGTCGCGTGGTTACGACTATCTGCTCGTCGCCACCCACTTGCTCGAGCACGCGCTCAATGGCCGACGCTGGCAATGCCCGTGTCTCTTCGTGGCTAATGTTGAACGACTCTTCCTCGGACATGGGCGGGAAGCCCGTGTCTACGAGGGTGGACACAATCGGCAGACCAAAGACCCAGCTGCTGTTGGCCTTGGTTGGAGCTTGTGGAACGCTGTGACCGTTACCATTACCGTTGCTGGTCTCAATCTCAAGAGTATCGACCAAAGCAGGCTCTGGGTCTTTGTTTTGCTCATTCTGTTTCGCCTTGGCAGCGGCCTTAGCTTGCTTCTTTGCAGACTTGGACTTGCCGGTGACCGACGGAGCCGCTGTGAGCAGGTCATCGTCCATTGGCGAGGCCGAGAGGGCAGGTGTTGGAGGGGAGATAGTTAAAGCAGAAAACTCAGCCGTCGGCGGTTCGTGGGAGGAAAGTGAAGAAGGGTAGATAAGCGCAGACTGTGACTGGGCATACAGAGCACCCTGCCGAAGCGGATCGTATTCGTACAGCGCAATGCGCCGATCCGTGTGGAAAGGCTGATATGGTGCGCTAGACTCGATTTCGGCGTGTGGGATCGACGACTCCACAGCGGTGGGCACCACGGATGGGTGCTGCGCATGGTTGGCAAGCACCATGGTGTTGGACCCGGCGTCATTCTGCTCTACAAAGTCCAAGAAGACTTCGGGGTCCAGATAGTGTTGGACCGCCGTCGACAACAGATCATCTGGCAGATTGGGTACCCGAAGGTCTTTGTTGAATCCAAGATGCAGGACCCGCTGGCCCGACGACTTCTTCCGCGTGCGACTGACAAAGTGGCGGACCAAGCCATCACCCAACACAAACAGAGAGTGGTGGCGCTTCCCGGCCACCCAGGCAACACACGAAGGCCCTGGAGCGAACGGTCCCGATGGAAGGGACACACGGTTTTCACCAGTATGTCGAAGCTGGCTGATGGCATTGCCCGTTTTCCCAAGGGAGTGGCTGATGCCAGCGGCAATGATCTTGCCGCCGTGACTGGCATGGTCTGCAATGATAGCGCCGGTTGACTGCGGGACGTTCGAGCTGCTCCGACGGGGGCGTGTCAGAAGGGGGCGGGCCGCATCGAAAGCTGTTGTCAGCGCATTTGATGCATAGGAGACAGCCGTCGAAGCGGTTCCCCCACCTGCTGTGTCAGTACCAGCGGAACCAGACCCAGCAGCTCCAGCGCCATACGGTGGCCGCGTCCCCCGCCTACGGGGCGGTGGCCAAGTGAACGCGCTCGAGGGCAGGTCCAAAAGATGCACGGTTCCCCGCTCTGTGACCATGGCAAGACGTTCACCGTTGGGCTTGGTCCACGCCACATCCACGATGCGAGCCACAGTCATCCGGGAGAACTGGGCAATCTGCCGAACCCGTGGTCCGGTCAAGGTGCCCGGCACACTAACTGCCTGGAGAGGCGAGGCCTTGGTATACTGGATGCGGAACAAATCCCATACAGTTTGAACATCACCCTTGGTGCTAGCGATAAAGAGCCAGAGACCAGTCGGCGAAAACGAAAGGAAACTGCAGCCAAGGGTCGGAGCAAACGTTGTGATGGGGTGGATCGTGCTTGAGCCGCCTAACGCCGTTATGTCGATAACAGAGACAAGGCCGGGCTCTTTCGAGACAACGGCCGGTGCCGCCCCGCCGTGCGTGGGCGGAAACTGGCCATCGAGTCGGCCTGCATAGGCTGATGACGGAGGTGACCGGGGCGCTTGAGGCGCCGAAGTTCCCGGGCTGCCTTTCCAGTAGTTATTAAAAGCTTGCCAGCCTTGCTGGCCAACCCATTTGGCGCCCGAGATCAGCTCCTGTGTGGCACCACGCATAATTTTGTTCATGACACTCTCGGTATGAGGGAGATCCACATCAGCGGTTGTGGGTGGAAGATGCGGCGGTGTCATCGAACTGTAGCCGGGCGCCCGCCCATGGACCGGAACAGGGACCACCGCCCGCAGTGCGATTTGCGACGATGGCGTTGCAGGACAATATGCAAGCCATTTGCCGCTAAGCGACAACACAGGCTGCTTAAGACCGGGCCGCGGCGAAGGGCTCGGTGTAGAAGCGGCGGCTCTGGAGCGTTCACCCTCGGTCGCTGCGTCTCCAGCATTGGGGTCTCCCTTAAGAGACTGCTGGAGTGTTGTCCACAGCTTGGCCACAAACATAAATGGAAGGTCGCTCTCGTCAGAAAAGGCAATCTGCCGGTACAGCCAACACTCGCCTGTTACAGCCGACGAAATGACAATGTTTCCGGCATCGGCCTTGATGTGGAATGCGCCCGACGGTGAAGGCGCCTGAAAGATGGGGCTCGTGACAGCGATCTGTAGTGGAATCTTGGGTGCCTCGAGTAGTGTGCAGATCCGCCGATTCAGCTTCAACGAGTACACTTCGACAGTTGTTTGGTAGTATTCGATCGGGAGGGCAGAGCCTGAAAACGTCCTACCAGTAGGGAACTCGCCATGGGCACCGACCAGTGGCGAGTGCTGCGGGCTTGCATCTTTGCTGTCAACAGTACCCGGCTTCCCGTCGGCCGTGCGGCCGTGTTTCAAGCGTTCATCCGTCGGTACGTCACTGGCCTCGACCTGTCCTGCATCTGGAGAGGCCGCAGGAGGCAGAACGGGACCATGCACAACCACTGCAACAAGGGGAAAAGCGTCCGCTAGAGCAGGACTCGATACGGTCCACGGAAGAATCTTGGCGTTGACAACACCTCCACGCAAGCCCGAAAGGCTGGCGAGGCGGTCCAATCCACGCTTTGAGACGGAGTGTACCTCCAAGCCACCCTCATAGCCAGCCGTTACGACAGTCTCGGCGCTTCCACCTAGATAGTGTGAGGTCGGGAGGGTGTCAAAGGCAAAGTGGTATCCTCGTTGCCCAGCCTTCAGGCCGTTCTGGCGAGACTGCAGGTCGATGTCAATGTCGGGGGCACCGTAGAAATGAGCCTGCGGTTGGTGAGGCAGAGGAGGGTTTGGAATGGCAGCAGCTGCGGCCGCGGCCACACCACGGGACTGGGCGTAGTGCGAATGGAGTGAGTCTCGGCGGTGGCCTGGTGATGTTCCCGAGTGGTGGGGGGCATGCTGTGGGGATGGTTGAGATACGGGCGGGTAATGGGCGGCGGGGTCCATGTGGTAGCTTAGCGGTCGGCGGCCGGTTATACCATGGAGTTCACCGGCCATCGGAGGCGAGACAGAGGCGCTGGTATGGTGGCTGCCATTGCTGGCAAGGCTGAGGTGGCTCGTGTGGCTCGTGTGACTTGTGCCATATGGCCGAGGCGAGGACCATCGGCTCGGAGGCGACTCACCCATCAAATTGATGAGATGTCCAGGCGAGCCGGCCAAGCCTGTCGAGACGCCGCCGCGCGACGGGGCCCAGTCACCCATTCCCGGGATCGTACGCGGCGAGGGCGCATATGAAGGGGCGCCAGAGAAAGGGACAGCGCCTAAAATGGGCGAGATGGACGGGTTGCCGTTCGAAGACGGGGTCGCCACGGGTTCGACGCTGGGCGACTGGTTTGCGGAGCTGGAAGTGTCCGACGCAGGGCCTGGGGCGTTTCCGTTACTGAAGTGTGCGTTAGCAATGGACGGGAAGCGAGGGAGGGGAAAGGACCAATGCGTGCCGAACGGTGGGATATGGGGGACATGACGTACGTAAACTTTCCAGACGCATGCTTGGTCACCGCCGCGACCACGCCGCCAGCCTCTTTTGCATCCTTCTTAGCCTTCTTTGCACCTGGCGGGAAGCATGTGTTAGTAGCAATCCGTACAGATACATATGTCTTGCCAAAAGCAGAAGAACAAACTCGACGCGGATAGCTCTTACTAGGCATTAAGCGTTAAAGCCCACCGCCTGGCCGACGGCGGAAGGGGTTCGGGGTTCCAAGGGTATGGTAGATCTAGGGCCGACGAAGTAACTGGCAGTTGAAAATCGACGTGACAATTATGAGACACCGAAGAGGTCCCGGGAGTCAGAGCGACAGTGAGGGGTTCCGAAAAAAGTCGTTGAAGGCACCGGTACAGTCAAGTACCAGCAGGCCGAGCTTCTGTTGTACGTTGGCGTGATGGTACGTGAAGCTTCACAGCGTTGTCAGACGGAAGCCGCTTTGTCGGCACGTTACGTTGACGGAGGCAGTGTCGTGATGGTCGGTCCGTGGAAGGCTGGTGGGCAGAGACGAGAGAGGTCGACGAGGGAAGCACAGAGAAACAGCTCGATGCGTCGGTGGTGGT